TCATCAAAATTAAAATAGAAATGCTATTAATGAAATAAACACTAAGGTCCTGTTTGGCTCTCATTTAGGTGGTTGAAAAAAAAAGGAAATTTTTTTATTTACGTGTAATATTATTTTATTGAAAAATGTGTGGTTGAAAAGAAAATAAAGAAAAATGTATTATAATTTTAATAGGGGCCAAACAAGAGCTAGATAGAATTCGACACACCTCATGTTTTATTGTAGTAGGGATTATGAACATAGTATTCAATTATTAGTACATATTTTCATTCGAAACAAAACTAACATTTTCAGACAAAAGGTGCAGATATAATTGATGCAAATGATTCATAGTTAAATAAGTAAGCCCTTGTAATTTGGTGGGGATTAAAATCATATTTTTAGCAGATTTTGATAAAAGTTGATGAATCGTGTGGTTGAAAAATTGTGAATTCCATGGAATGTGTAGTTAAAATTAATCGTTGACTTTGACTCAGGATTTTAATCTCTACCATACAGGGGCTAAGTATCAACGAAATTGTAATGCACTTATTAATGTGTAGTGTTACATCTCAATCTCGATAGAAACTGTTAGTTTGAATAATATTTTACTTTCAAAATTCCGCAATGTATTTATAATCAACATTACGATGTATAATTCTAATTTATAGTTACAAAATTTACAAATGTGAAGAGACTGAATGTGCATTTTCTATGAAGAGATCATCCATGCATCAATAGTTGTTAGCCTGTTACTGATGGAGTTTGAGAGGTTGCCTGCTGCAGATACTTGAATGCTTTTTGATGATTTAGAAATCCCATGAACCAGAACTCGAACTTGTCGTCGGTAACTATCTGCACATACTTTTGCCTTGGTTTTTTTGCATTTTCACTTTCTTTGGCTCTCTTTATTCTCCTTGCAGGGATCATGACCTGCAAGGTTTCGACACCAGTTAGATTTTCATCTTCTAAGAGAAAATAGAACATAATCGTGCAGAAATGTACCTTATAATGTATTTTAAGCAGTTTTCTAGTTGGAGAAGAGAGTTTAATTGATCTCTCACTGTAGAAGGCAATTTTATCAGTTGATTTCAACAGATGGCCTGCTATCGGCCCAGCTGTGGTCGATAAATAGCATTGAGAAGCCGTTATATGCTTTTCGCCATTGCTAACATTGAAGTTTAGCTTGAAAATTTTTTCCAGTCCGCCTACCCGAAGGATTCTTGCCCCTAGCCTCAGCTTCCCTTTCAAAGTTTCTGTTAATTTGGGTCCTAATTTCACTGCAGGGATAATAATAAAGCAAAACATTAAGGGTAAAGTAGGAGTATCAACCAACTGTACACTACACAGGGGCGGACGCAGAAGTTTAAAGTTAAAGGGCACGATTGAACTTGAAAAGAAGTTGGGAGAAATTTTACAATTGAAAATTTACGTCTAAAAAAATCATATCCCATATAATTTTGCATTTGAAAATTTACATGGGATATAACTTTTTCGGATGTAAAATTTCGAAATTTTTTGATGTCATATTCTATATAAATTTTCCTAATAAAATGACGAAAATTA